GGGCGGGAGGATGTTCACGTGGCGCATGTCGTAAAGAAAGGAAATGGATTGAGAACGCGCGAGCGCTGTCGGGGAAGGGGGAGAGGCGGCCGTCGTACGGTGCTGCGACGTTTCGCGCCGCGAGCGCGAAGTGTTGAAAGACCGGGCTGGCGACGGCGGCGGCGGCGGAGCAGGACGCCCGAGGGGTAGGCCTGTCCGCCGAGCAGCTGGGTCTGGCGGGCCGGCCCGCCCTCGCGCCGCCCGCCCGGGGACTAGGCAACCCCGCCGAGCTGCCAGGTCTGGAGGATGTTCACGTGGCGCATGTCGTAAAGAAAGGAAATGGATTGAGAACGCGCGAGCGTTCTGCAGGGGAAGGGGGAGAGGCGGCCGTACGGTGCTGCGACGTTTCGCGCCGCGAGCGCGAAGTGTTGAAAGACCGGGCTGGCGACGGCGGCGGAGCAGGACGCCCGGGGGGTAGGCATGCCCGCCGAGCAGCCGGGTCTGGCGGGCCGGCCCGCCCTCGCGCCGCCCGCCCGGGGACTAGGCAACCCCGCCGAGCTGCCAGGTCTGGCGGGCCGGCCCGCCCCCCGCCCCTCCGCCCGCCGCGGGTTTAGTATGGCGGGCTCCCCGTCGCCCGCGCGGCCAATGGGCGCGCACGCGTCGGTATTCGAAACAGGTTTTGGGTCGGCCGGATGGGCCAATCCTCCTCCGGCTGCTTATGGCCGGCGCCTGCCCGCCCGTGTGTGGACTGAGCAGCTGAGGGGGGCTCCAAGATGGCGGCGAGGAGCGCGTCTGCGTCCAGGCCAGAGGCCAGAGGGCCGGTCATCTCGAGCAGGAGCGGGCCGGCAGCCCTCCGCCACGCCACGTGGGGGGCTCTGGGTCAGAGAGTGGAGCTAAAAATAGGGGGCTGATGTAAACAGCAGGGCAATAACGACTTAAACACAAAGGAGGGGGCAGGCGTAAGTCTGGACCCAGCGCGGGAGACTTGCGGGGGTCTGGGAGGAAGGGATCACGAGTAAGAAAGTGCGGCTGTGTGAGGGGGGGGGGGTGTTCGAGGAACCCTGTGAGGCTGTGCCCGGGTCCGATTTACCAGCCCTGGCCTCCTGGCCCAGCCGGGCCCCCACCATGCCCGTGTCGAACGCGCGGGAGCTCGAGTCCTGGCGCACAGACGGCTCCAATAAAGCGCTTTATCGGCCCGTCTTGTTTCGGTTTGGCCGCTCGGCAGTGCAGTGCCGGCCTCTCGGCCTGACGGCCCCGCCCTCGCGGCGCACGCCGGCCGCTTTGCGTGTCCGGGTCGTGCGGGATGCAATCGAAAGCTGACCCCTCTCTGCGCCGGGGCGCCTCTGCCGTGGTCGTGGTGCCACTCCGCGGCGAGGCAGAGTGAGGTTCGGGCCGACCCGCCCGGCCCGGCCCGGCCGCCTCCTGGGTGGTTTGTGTGTTTTGTTCCTGACGAAACGTTTTCGCCGGGCGAGCGAGGCGGGGCCGCGGGCCCATGGGGCCACGTGACTCGGGTCGGGAATGTACACGTCCGAAAGTGTAGTCCCGTTTCACTGCGAACGTTGGGCCGCATGACGAGGGTATGCTTCCGAACGTATATCTGTCGCGCGCGGTGCTGTGCGTGGCGCCCAATACGTTGAATGTCAAACTTTGTTTTTATTTCATTTTTAAAAAGTAAAAAGAAAAGCGCCCGTTGGCGTTTCCGTGCTCCGCACGTGCTCACTCATTTTCTGCCTCGTTGGCGGCGGCGCGGCGCCGGCGAGCTGCTGCCGCTGCCGTTCATGAAATATTGATACGTTATTCGCTACTCGTCGCCGCATTCGTTAGCCGAATGATATGCCCACGTGTGAATGCCCTGCCTCACCGCACCCCGCTCACCCCACCCCACCTCACCACGCCCCGCCCCACCGCATCCCGCCCCGGCACCTGCACCACCCCCCAAGCTAATAGGATTCAAGATAGGATAGCCTCGCATATAGGCGACGTGGATTTGGCTGGATACCGACTTTCAATCAAAAGGGGTCCTGCTCACGGAAAGTTGTGCCGTCATCACGCGTGTCTCTGGGAGTGCGTCGTGTCCTGATTGCTTGGGGGAGGGGGGGAGAGGGTCGTTTGGTGACGACGGTAGCTCCGCGTCTGGCCGCCCCCCGCCCAGGCCCATGCATCTCTCCCCGGCTGTGCCGTGGTGAAGTAAGTCACTCCGCACGGGAAAGTTTTAGCAGCGATCCTTCGCGCCCTGTGCCTTGCTGTGCCTTGCTGTGCCGTGCCCGGCCGTGCCGTGTCCTGTCCCTCCTGTCCGTGCAGCGCGCGGCTCTTGGCCCCGTGCCGACCCGGGGTGAGGGGCGGGGCGGGGCGGGGGGTGGTTAGCCGCGCAGGTCGGGGCGTGCCGCGCGCTGCGGGGGCGTTTTCGACCACGCTGCCCCCCCCCCCCCGCCCCCCGGCTCCTCCCATCTCAGGTGCCGAAAGACACGCTTGATGGACACACGAAACAAAATGTGCCCCCTTACCACCCCTACCTGACTCTGACGCAGTCGCCTGCGTACGCATGCCGACGATCAGGTCGGGCTGCTCGGTGAGGTCGAAAGAGAAAAGCAAGAGGTGCCTTGATGACGCACGTCGCGTCGCACTCGTTGTTTTTCCTTTCGCGCTCCTCCTTCAGGTGCAACTGGCTGTCGTAAATAAGTTATGCGCATTTTCGAAAAGCGACTTTTACTCGTTGCACACCCTAGGGTTCAGCCTGGCAAAAGTTTGCCGTATTTTTATTCCTCGGAGCCCGCGACATGTCGCTGTCACGGTGGTGCCTCCGCGCGCCCGCAGCCCGGGCCCGAGCACGGGCCGCAGTCAGCTGTCACGCACACTGCCAAGAAAAAGAGTTCCGCCAACCAATTTATTGTTTCTCGTTAGTCGGTCGTCACACAGGGACGGACACGCTTGTTCGTTTGGACGTCGATGGACGGACGTGCCTGCCTGTCTACCCATTACTCAGTGCACCTTATCGTATGGATTCAAAAAAGCCCCAAAACGCTGCACCCCTAAAAGAAATGGCTGGCCGTTTTTTTTAGGAGGGTATGCCACTTGCACAAGCGGGTGCGGTGCACGCACCTTTTTGACTGTGGGGGAGAAGGGGGGAGGGGGGAATCGGTGGCGGTGCGCTCGCATGCGTCCCGTTTCCGCAATTTCCATCAATTCATAGCCCGGCCGCGGCCTACGCCACGCCACGCCCCTGGAGTAGTAGGGGGAGCGGGGTGTAGCGTTTGATGGAGATGGATTCTCTCCCCGCCGAGCACGCACCGCACAGTGTAGGCGACTCTCCGCCGCAAAGACCACGCGCGCCTCCGGCCCCTCCGGCCGCCTTCGGTGCTGGCGGAATGTGGTCGCTGGTCGACAACCCCGTCGGGTACGACGACTACTGACTGACTGGCCTACCCGACCACGACCTTGATACAGACCCGGGCATCCAACGCGCTCACCGCCACCTCGGTTGTGTACCACCACCACCTCCAACATCATCCTCATCATCATCACCTGCGACATCAGCGCCGTCGTGGTCCTGGTCCTTGAACTCCCCCTGTCTTCCCCTCCAGTCCCCGCCATGCCGTCGAGCTTCCCGGGCCGACGCTGCGCGGCGCCGCCCCGCCTGTAGCGCGGACCATGAAGAGCAAGCACGCCCGCGCCTACTACTACCACCCCTATTCGGTGCACCCCTACGCCCTGCCCGCCCTGGCGCCGCTACCCAGCGCCAACGGCGTCGTCGCCGGCGCGGCCAACGGCGTCAACGGAGCAGTGGCCACCGCCGCGGCCACCAACGGCGTCGCGACCACCAACGGCGTCGCCACGGCCAACGGCACCGTCAACGGAGGGAGCCACTACCTGGTGACCCCGCCCGCCTCCTACTACGAGCCGCAGATGCCGCACGTGGCCCCAGGTAATGTGCAAGCCGCCGTCACGGGGAGGGTTGCGTCGGAGAGCGTTAGAACACTCGATCCGACTGCAGGCGGAACGAGTCACTTTGTCCCTGCTTCTGCTTCTCCAGAGCGCCGCATCCTGTCTGGCTGACTGCGGTGGTCATATACGGGCTTGCCTACGCCTTCGGCGCAAGCGATGGGCAATCCTGCACCAGCAATAATGCCAGCAAGCAGGCGTGTTATGCGTTATCCCTTTTTGAAAAAAAGTGGGAAAAGTGTGGTTGTATGGTGGGAGCACTGCATCTGTATTCGAACGTTTCTTCCATTCAGGGAGGACGCTCGCCAGGGGAGGAAAGCTCCCAACTCTCTCCTCTCCCGCGACTCTCCTCCTTGAGGCCGCCGCGGATCACCTGTTGCAGTCTGCGCCGCCCTGCAGCCTGCAGTCTGTGCTACCCCCCCCCCCCCCCCTGAGCTCTCTATAGCAAACATAAAACGATAGCATCGCCCTGCAGAAATGTCACCACGCCATGGCGGAGCGGCGCGGGCCACACCTGATCTGATCACACTCCTCCTCGTCCTCCCCTCCTCGGGCACCACATACACACCTGCCTCCAAAGAAACATGGCCTCCACCCGCATATTGTATCTGTGCCCCTCCCCTTCCCTCCCCC